GCGCTGGGCGGACCCCCACGACGCACCGCGCGCGCCCTGCGCACTGGCGCCCCCGTGTGGCCGAGAGCGGCGGCGGTGCTGGTCCCGAGGCCCTGTCTCCTCCAGCAGGCGCAGCGCCGCTGGGCTGGCTTAGGAACCGGATGTGGCCATATGAACAACGGAATCAGCAGGAGTCGGTGTATCTACAGGTGCAGGGGAAGTGTGACCCCAAAGCCAAGGAGTCCCCGTGGTTTTCCTTCACTTTTTTTTTCTTTTTTTCTTTTGCGCTGCTGGGGATCGAACTCATGAAGCTTGGGCTTGCCGGGCAGGCGCTTATGCCACTGAGCTGTATCCCTTCCCCCGTGGTTTTCCATACTGGCCTCTGTGCGTTCCAGGGTGGAGCAAAGGAGGGTGCGGAGGTCTCGAGTGTCCCCTCCAGGTCAAAGTGTGGACAGCTTTAGCGACCAGGCTGAAACAATGGTTCTGCATGAATCCCCACGGATCCTGGCATCCTTTTGGGAGGGAGGGCAGCCCCCGGGGTTGGAAGTATTTTCCTAACAGTGCTAATTCATTTTCTGCCTTTCTCGCTGGTGGACATCTGCGCTGGGGTGGGAAAAGAAACTGGGGAGGAAAGATGAAAGGACGCCAGCTTTCCTTATCCTCGATAAACCAATACAATTATTGATTTTATTAAATCTCAACCCTTGCGTCTACGTTGTTAGTGTGTGTGTGTGTGTGAGAGAGAGAGAGAGAGAGAGAGAAAACCGGAAGCGTGTATGGAGCACTTCTCCCCAGGTCTGGAGCTGCCTGGGGGAATCACTGGAAATCTGAGTTGTGAGTTCATTGGTTTCTTTTTTCCCAAAAAACTAATTTCACTTAAAAGAATGACAGATGAACTATGACTATTCCAAGGTGGGTATCTGGTTGGCATTTTCTTGAAAATATTCCAAACGAGCCTCAGACTTCAATGAAAACAAGCGAGAGAAAGTGCTGCCGAGGTTAAAATCTGAACTTCGAAGAAGTAACGTGCACGCGCTCCGCGCGGGCAGCTCCCCGTTCTCTACAGACTTCATGATGGCGTCACAGGGGAGGCAAAAGTGATTCCGGATACTGTAAACAAAAGGCGTCAGTGTTCGGAAGGTCTGCATTTCTCAGTGGGCCACATCTTCCAAGCTGCCAGCACATGGCACAAAACCATGCATGGGCGAAAAATCCACGCAAAATGTGAGATAAACCAACTTACGTAGCAGAGGGTGGACGGTTCATTGATAAGGTTTCAGGGTCCACTGCGGAACTGTCTTAAAGAAACTGTTTTGATGTCATAATAAAGAAGAACGTCAACCATGCATGGTGCATACCTGTAATCCCAGCGCCCTGGGAGGCTGAGGCAGGAGGATTGCAACTTTGTTTTCTGTTGCTATAGCCGAAGAGCTGAGACTGGGTTATATAGACAAGAAAGAAATTCAAGGCTTCCCGTTTCAGTATCTTAATGAATACTGCTTTATGGGGCCTTACTGCAAATAGCTTTCTTCTTATACGACTTCTTCAATTTTAAGACACACCCTCGCCTGTAGTATTCCAGAGACATCTGCTTCTCATGTCTCTGCCAGAGGGCTGTTGCTACTCATTTCACAGGGAACGGCTCTCTCTTCCTGGGCTTGGTCTGGGCCTGGCTGGACTATTGTAACAAAACACCACAGACCCCATGGCTTATAAATGGCAGAAAGCTACGTCCCATTAGCCAGCAAAGCTCGCAATCCCTGCTTCCTAGATGGGGCTTTCTCACTGTCCTCACGCGGCAGAGCCATGACGCAGCTCTTTGGGGCCCTTCTGTACGGACACTAATCCTCTTCACGAGAGTTCGGTCTTCATGACATAACCACCTCCAGAAGCCACACCTCCAAATGCCTTCACACTGCAGAGTAGCTTTTCTCTTTCTTCTTTTGTCTTTTTGAGACAGGATTTCACTATGCACTTCAGGCTGGCCTTGAACTTACCTTGTAGCAGAGGCTGGCCTCGAACTGACAGCGATCCTCCTCCCTTGGCCTCCCAAGTGCTGGGATTACAGGCGTGAGCCACCAGGCCTGGCACTACAGAGTAGCTTTTAACCCGGGAGGTTTGGACAGAGCAGACATTTGTACCCTAACTCTTTCCTGCCTCCTTCCCAGCTCTACCCGCCCCCCCCCCCCGACCCCGTCCCCTGCATTCGTGGCCCTGAGGCTGCATCAGAGACGCTGCCCTGTGACAGCCATTCCTGCTCTGTGCTGCCCTATGCAGGACACTCATGGACTGGTGGGGAAGGCAGGGCTTCTCTGACTCACTCCCTCACAAGCAAAAGCCACTTCCTAATTTGGGTTAGGAGCTGACCGTGGAGCACAGTCTGTCAGAGACAGGTCCTGAGCACATTTGCTATTTAATCCCATTCAGAATTCTCCCATCCCCACCAGCTGCAGAAGACTCTGGGGATGACAGGTCCACCACGTCGGAAGGTAAGGAGAAAGCGTCCCATCTTCACACGATGCACAGTCGTAATTGTACCGGGCTTTTCGTTTGCCTGGCTCCTGAGATCTGAGGTGGCAGTAGCTGGCAGTGTGCGTGTCTTCGGGGAAGAGAGAGAGACACGGACAGGGACAGGGACAGTGACAGAGACATTCCTTTTCAGTAAGAGGAAGCAGCTACTGCCGAAGTCGGAAAGAAGAGTGCTGCGGATAGGAGTGTCGTTCACAGAACAGAGACGGGTGGGAAGGAGGCTCCTGGGAAAGCACAAAGCACTTCTTTAAAAAATTGTTTTTAAAATCTACTCCACAGGGTAATCATACATTAAATTCTAATGTTGAGCTCTTTCAATAAAAGTTTTATAAGAAAACTACTTTTGCAAATTGTTGTTAAAGATACACAACATAAAATTACCTCTCCTGACCATTCTAAGCGCGTAGCTCGGTGGCGCTGACCACATTCACGCGATGCTATGACATCACCGCCTTCCTCCTCCCCTGTCCTTCTGCCATCTCTCATTTTGTCACCAAATCAACTGCTGGTCCCTGGGATCTATGCTGTGCAGAATCCAGGTGCTAAGCCAGGCGTGGTGGCATTGTCTGTAATCCCAGCACAGGCAGGAGGATCGCCGTGAGTTCAAGGCCAGCCTGAATCACAGAGTGAGATCTCTCTCTCAAAAAAACCCCCAAGAACCCAGGTGCTAGGGGCATAAAGGGAAACAACTACAGCATCCAGAAAGGCTAAACAGATGGACAAAACAACAAGACAAAGAGAAAGAGGAGGAGGGCGGAGAGCGGGGGAGGAGGGTGGAGACCCTGCTGGATGGGTCTCGGAGAGTTGAAGGTGTCAGGCGCAGGCTCTTAGGAAGCTGAAATGGGGGCAACATCAGGAGGTGTTATTGTTTTAGAGCTGACCACGGTGGTCCACTCCTATAATCCCAGCTACTATGGAGGCCGAGGCAGGAGGTTTGCAAGTTCCAGGCTAGCTTGGGCAACTTGGCACGATCTTGTGTCAAGACCAAACAAACCAAAGATACATAGTTTTAAAACTAGACATTTTGCTGTGTGTTAAGAACGAGCGCTGCTAGAGTTCCCTGAGGAGACTACATGCAGAGTGAGGCCGCCTTCAGCCCTGTGTCGCAAGGACTCCCTGACACGGCTCGGCCGCCTTGGGGCCTCCTGTGTACGTGCACGACGTTGTCTGACTCACACTTTTACAGATGTGTTAGGAACACTTTTGCTGCTGCCCAATATTTACACAAAAGCAGAAAAAGTGCCCCGCTTTTCTGTTTTGCAAGTGAGAGGAACCCACGCCTGGCCCTTTGTGTCCGCGTCTCAGGCTTGGAGGTGGCCAGGCTTTCTGCAGAAGAGACATCGACCCAGAGCCAGGCACATCGAGGGGCAGGCAGTGTGGTCGGCGGGATGCGCGCTGCCCAGAAGCAGTGCTCCATTCGGTGGCTTTCTTTTCATGAGTTGCTGGACTTGGGTGAGTGCTGAGGGTTTACCCCCTCGTGTCTGTGCGTGCCTCCGCGTGCTGTGTGTGTGTGTGTGGGTGTGTGGGTGTGTGTACGTGACAGCTCAGCCGCTGGCCTTCCAAAGGCTGTGCTCTGCCTCCAGCCACCTCGCTGCTCTTCTGGCTCCTCCCTGGCTCCTGGGGCTCCTTCCCGTCACAGCCTCTGCCCCTCCCTGAGGGCCCTCACTGGGGCAGCCCTCCTGTCTGGGCCAGGCCATCGTCAGATGCCCCTTCCCCTGGCCCTCTGCTCCAGGCTTCTTGTGGTGCTGGGGATGGAACCCCGGGCCTTGCACGTTAGCCAAGTGCTCTACCACTGAGCTACAGCCCAGCCCTTTTCATTTTTTACTTTTTGAGACGGGTCCTGCTAAGTTGCCCAGGCTGAGCTTGGGTTTGGAGTCCTCCTTCCTCAGCTTCTCTTGCAGTCCAACCACGCCCGGCCCCTCTGCCCGGTCACCCGTGGCTGAGGCTTCGCTCCTTTCTTTTTAGCATTTGCACAGCTGCGCCCTCGGTGCCCTTTCAGCGAGCAGAGCCAGGCCTGCCTGCCTGCACGGAGGAGCAAGGCGGACCGGGCCCTAGGAAAGGAGGCACTGCGTTGCCTTTGGCCTTGGTCCCCCCCTATAAATGAACAAGGCTGGGTGAGCTCCATCTAGCTCCTTGCGCCTCTCCTCTTCCTGCTGATATAAAGTCTGTCCAGATGGAGCGCCCTGGAAACACACCGAGCCCCCGCACGGGCCTCTGCCCTCCCACTCCCAGCTCGGACGCAGCCCCCGGGCTCTGTAGCCACAAAGCCACCAGGCTGGGGGAGCCAGGCCCTCTCTGCTCTGACACCCTGGGAGCCTGTGACTTGGTCTGCAGGAAGCGTCCCCGAGGGAACAGAGCATCTGGCTCCTGTCCCTCTGCTGCTTAGTGGCCTGGGTGGGCGGCGCGCAGACGCAGTGTTACTTCCGCCAATGGCACCTGTGCCACACGGCAGGGACAGGCAGCGGCACCTCACCTCCAAGCACACGGGGGAGTCCGCGGGGAGGGCGAGTCGCAGAGGCGGCAGGGCCTGCCGGAGCCACCTATGCTTTTGCGTTTCTTCCCCCTCAGTGCTATGGAAAGTTACTGAAAGCTTTTAAATTTAGGCTCAGCACGGTGTGATTTACACAGTTGAAAGATGCCCGTGTTTAGGGGCTGGGTGTGCAGTGCAGCAGTAGCGCATTTCCCTAGCATCCAGGGGTCCAGCTTTGAGCCCAGCCCTACAAAACGTTTTAAAAAGGACATGTTTTTAAAACCATAGGTGTAGAATGAGGTTAAAGCGTTGATCAAGACCTTGACCAAACTGGAAGCAGGAAAAACTGAGGAGCTAATTCACCAATCTTATGAACAGGTGATGCGCAGCCCAGGCACACTGAAGCCAGAGGTCCACACAGCACGCGGACAGGAACTGCTCAGAACCGAACGCTGGAGGCACTGCCTAAATTCATATGTTGAAATTTTAACCCCAGGGTGATACAGTATTCAGTCATGCAAACTCGGGAGGTGATTATGTGCAGCGTGGGTCCCTCACGCGTGGGGTTTGGGTGCTTGCCACAGGGACAGCATGGCGGCCCTTTCTTCCAAAAGAGGTGCCATCTGTGAACAGAAAACCAAATCTGCTGGAGCCTTGATCTTGGACTCCTAGATTCCAAGATTGAGAAGTGTGAGGAACGAAGTCCTCCGGAACTGTGAGAAATAAATTGCTATTGTCTATAAATTACTTGGTCTATAGCACTCTGTTATAGCAGCCCTAGCAGATTAAGACAAGACTGCTCATGGGTGTACTGCTCATAATAGCCCCAAAGTGAAAGTGGTCTTCATGCCCATGAGGGGACAAATGGATAAACAAAGTGGTAAACCCAGGTAATAGAATATTATTCAGAAAAGGCACTGAGAGACACAACACGGATGAAACTTGAAAACATTATGCTGGACAAAAGAAGCTAATTATGAGATACACATATTGTATGATTCTGTTTATGGCAAATGCTCAGAACAGAGAAATCTATAGCCAGAAAGCAGATCAGTGATTGACAGAGCCAGGGGCAGGGAGAAGTGGGGGTCTCTAATAATGAGTGTGGGGCTCGCTTTGGGATGATGAAAACGCTCTGGACTAAGACAGTAGTAACAGCTGCACAAGCTTGTGAAGGTACAAAAACCACTCACTGTTCCCTTCCAAAGAGAGAGAATGGTATCTCAATTAAAACAATGCAAAATAGAGAAGAGAGATGATGGACCAGGACAAAGATGGTCTGAGGGTGGAGAAGGTTCTAGATCTTTTAGAGAAAAGGGATAGAACTTGATGACAGAAAGAGGGGTCGAGGTGGCACTTGGGCCTCAGGAAGGTGTGTCTGTGTAGTCAGAAGAAATAACCCTGAGAGGCACCGTGTGAAGGCACAGGGCTTCAGCGCAGGGAACGGCTGAGAATTCCAATACAGCAATAAAATCGCATCGGACTGGGAGGGGTTCCCCTATGAGCCAGCACAGTTTTGAATTTTACAGTATTTTTTATTACTCCTTAGGTATTAGAGGATCCTGCTGCGGAATCGCACAGCCCCCTCAGCCACTCACACCAGCTGCATGTCAAACTCGTCAGGACAGGTGAGCGGTCCCTGGAGCTGGGGCTTCTCTGTCACTTCACACCCAGAGCACTGGCTCCCTTTGTCAGCCCAGCTCTCGCCATCCGGCTTTCCTCCTGCTGCTGCTTTCTCCCTCTGCATCCCACCTGCTTTCCTCTTAAATATCGTTAATCCCCGAGCTGCGTGGTTGGCCCACTAATCCCAAAACTGCGCATGCCCAGGGCCCTGGCAGCCACCTCCCTGCTCCTGACGTCCAAGGCCCTGGTCCTGACCCCAGCCTCTCTGCAGCGGCCTCTCTGAGTGGAGCCCAGGGCTGCTGACATCCTTACCTGCGAGCACAGCCCTAGGCAAGGCTCCACGTCCAAACGCACACCCGCTCCCGCCCCAGGGCCGCTGCTTCTCCTCTTCTGAGATGAAAGGTGTCCACGCTCGCTCGGATCCCAGCCCCACTCGTGCTCCGCCGTTCCCATCATACAGAATCTGTTGGAGATGGATAACAGAGAGGAGGCGAGGAACGCGCCTCAGGCCAGTCAGTGGAGGAGCTGGAGGTGGCCAAGGCCCTGGTGCCAAGGCCAGGGCTCTTCAGAACACACTCGGACCCACGGTGCAGGTGAGCCGCAGCCTGGGCCAGTGCTGTCCTCCCTCCCTCCTGACTGCTCACGTCCGCCCTGCAGACAGCAGGACCAGACCTCCAGCTCCCCCCTGGGGACACCTCTGCCCAGCTCTGCCGCTCACCCACACTCACACCACCACCTCCTGCCTTGCCTCCGTCTTCCCCTCTGCCAGCCACACTCCCCCTTTCAGTACAGGTGCTGCTCTCACAACAGCCAACATGCCCGCTCCCTTGTCCGAGATGCAACAGGGGCAGTGCACAGCTCTCAGCACGAAAGTGGGCCTTCGTCCCTGGCCCCAGCCTCGCTCTGCTTCCCCGGGCTTACAAACAGCCTCACTATTCACGGACAGTGGCTCTGGACAGTCCCACTGAAATGGGTGGGTCCCCGGGAGGCAGTACTCAGTACTTTCAGTGTCGCAGACAGGCGCCAGGCAGGAGTGGCTCAGTCACTTTCTCATCACGGGGACACAGTACCTGGCACCCACGGCCTAAAGGAGGGGAGATCTATATTGGCTCATGTGGACTTCCCGTGGTTGGCTGGCTCTGAGGCAGAGCAGGCATGGTGGACAAGAGGCTGGCGGAGGACAGCTGCTCACGTTATGGCGGCTAGGAATCAGCAAGGGGAAGAAAGGAGGGAAAGGAAGGAAGGGACCCAGCATGGAGACATACCCTATCAGGCCACAACCTGTGACCATCCTCATCCAACCAGCCTCAATTCCTCACATCGCATTTAGCGCTAGTGCCCCCATGATTCGTTCAGCCACCTGTCAAAAGCCCCGCCTAGGAGCATGAGGCTGCAGGGGGCATCTAGATATGAACTACAATAAGAGGGAAGAATTCTGAGGCACCCAATACATGCGTGCCCAGATGAGGTTGTACAGCAATCTGCCTTCTTGTTCCGGGTCTCATTGTCTATATAAGAATCCTTTTCCTGATCTATTTACTGCTATGTTTCTAGCATCTTTTGTTGTTGTTTTTGCTGATGAGAATGGTCCCCAAATGTCGTGAAGTTCTGTCTTGTGTCCTTATGCCTATGGAGGACGCACATGTGTTAGATCAGCTTCTTCCAGGCACAGGACACAAGACTTGGGGAGTTTGATGTTAACAAACCAGTAAAACAGCAAGTCTGGAAAAAGGAGGAGGAAGTTCACGTGTATACATGAGACCCCCAGAAAGTGCTGAAGAAACATCTAGAGTGTACAAGGAAGCTATGGAAAAGATGGAACACTGACTAAATTTGTGGGTTCATGAGGTAATGTCTGATAACAGTAAGTGTGGGGGAGCATTCTGAGGCTGAAAGCCAAAGAGATTTATGGCCAGGACCTTCTCTGCATTGGCGGGCTTGTGTGTGGCCTTAGTGATATGACATGAAAAGTATTAAACCTACAAGCAAGGCAAGCTCTGCAGAGCAGGAGGCTGTGGGAGGATTTTAAAGACCCCTGCCCTGTATTCCACACGTAACTGGTGATGTGAAGAGTTGCTTTTCCACTTTGAGATTAGCAGATTTTGCACACAAATCTATGTAATACAAATAGCATTTTGGCTGAGCTAAATATTGTGATGAGAAGCTCAAAGGAACGTAACTCTATATTTTCCTCTAGGAGAAATAGTTCCATGTTCACTGCTACAAGGTTTGAGGCAAGTTTATAGAACACACCTATGGTGAATGATAAGAATAAATGTGCTTCCTTCTGTCCTCACCAAGTAGGCTCTGGTCCCATTGGACTCTGTAGTTGCCTGGAGACACTTGCCCTGGGCTTCCCTCTCTTCTCCATCCATGCAGGGTCATCCTTCAAATCCTAGCCAGCCAGGCCTGAGAAGTTTCTCTGGACTCCACCTTAGGATGACTCAGAGTCTCCTCTGCCTGTTAACACTCAGTACACAGCCCCTGGTTCAGTGTTTATCACAGCAGTGTGGTCACTCAGATGTTTGCCTCCCTCATCAGTCTCGGAGCTGCTACAAGGAAAGACCCACCCATCCCCCCTCCCTTTCTTCCTTTCTTCCTTCCTTCCTTCTTTCCTTTCTTCCTTCCTTTCCTTTCTTCCTTCCTCCCTCCCTCCCTTCCACACATTCAGCTATCTGCTTACCTATTCTATTATCTATCTATCATCTATCTAGCTATTTATCTGTCTACCTACCTACACACAGTGTATAGATGTATAGATGTATACATATTTAGTGAGATAGCAGAAAAACACACATCACTCCAAGATAGTTTTTATGTTATGCTTTTATTTTTCTTCCTGAATTATCAGACAGCACCATGCCTATTTGACTGAGTTGCTATGTTCTACTACTTAACACAAAGCCTGGTCCATAGAAAGAATCTGTAAACATTTGTCGGGAAAACATCAGAAAGGTTAACACTATTTATTCATTTTATCTAATTGAATTTCCTTGGTTCATCAACTTTTAATAAGTAGATAAAGTCATTATTAAATTAACATTTTGTCCCCTTAAATATTTGAAATACTTCTGCTTCCCCTCTTTTTAATTTGAGCCATCTATAATAAAATTGTGCTGAGTAAAATAAACGTCAGCCGAGTCCAAATGAAATAATTAGAAATTTGGAGGAAGTGGTCTGAATTAATCAATTTTTACTGAGCTCATTATAATTATGGAATGTTAGAGCCAGAGAAGTCTTCATTTACACTCATGCTAATGAGGCTCTTCTGGGTCAGCTAAGGAGGTGGGAGGGAAAGAACAGAAGGAGGCTCAACAGGCTGTGGGAAAGGACAGTCGTTCAGACAGCACGGGGTCTGCTCTCTGACACCTCTGGGACTCAGCAACCAGCTGCCTCCCATGAAGCAGCATTTGCTTCTCACAGAGCTGGGGCTGCTGCAGAGACCCAGTTGTGCCTGCGGCTGTCCTCAGTCATTCTCTCTGTGGCTGCTCTCCCTGCCTGCCTCAGGCTTCTGTCAGGACTACTAAGTGTTGTTGGTCTCTGCAGATGTTATGGTTTAGTTCCACAGTGTTCTCCAAAAGGCCCAGGTGTCCAGAGGCTGGGCTTTGGAAGGTGACTGGATCATGGGGGCACCATATTCAGCAGTGGATTCATCTACAGAAGAGCTCAGAGCTGAATGTGCTATTAGGAAGCAGAGTCCGGTAAGAAGAGGCAGGTCACTGGAAAAGTCTACAGTGTCTCCCTCCCACCTCCTCCCTTCTCTCTCTGCTTCCTGGCTGCCGTGAAGTGGGACTCTCTCCTCCACCAGGCCCCTCCTGTCTTGCAGCCAGAAGACCATGGACTGAGTCCTTTAAAACCCACGAACCAAATTTCTCATTTAAGTCATGGGTGCTGGGTCCTATGTCCCACTGATGAAGAAAGTGACCAGGACAGTAGGTCACAGATTCAGATCTCCATAACATAAAGGTCCTCTTTCTTCAGATTGCTACTTTCCTTCCCAGTGAGCAGAGATTTCACACTGCATCTTATTTTTCTAGTTCCTGAGACAAAATATCTGACATCAAAAAGTCAAGAGAGGAAAGGTTTATTTAGTTCAGTTTGTGGAGGTTCCGGTCCACAGTAGGCTGGCTCCAAGGTAGGGTAGCATGGCAGAGGGGCATCAAAGAGGAGAAACAGTCCATAACAGGGTAGGCAGAAGGCGGCATAGCAGCATCAGGGACAGCAAGGAGAGCTTTCCCTCTCTCCCTTTGCAGTCTATCCAGGGTGTAAACCTATTGATTGATGCCACCCACAAGCAGGGTGAGGCCCCTTAATCCCAGTATCATACCCTTACCCACGTTCACACACCCTAATTCAGCCACCTTCAAAATTTCCCACCTATGACTATATGAGGCTTTGAGGGGGGACATCTAGACACAAGCCATGACACACTGTCCCCTCCCTAGCTATAAATGAGCTGCCCTGTGGCAGTACCTCTTCCCTGGGCCAGGATGCTGAGCGGATACTGTCCACCTTCTTAGAGGGCCTTATGACAGGGTCAAACCACATCACTGGAAGCTCCTCAGAAACAACGGGCAAAAACTACTGCCTGAAGAATCAGGTGAATCTGCCTAGGAGGTGCCAAAGGCCACAGTGCTCTGTCTCTGAGCACAGAGTCTCCCAGGATCGGGAAGACTAGTCTCACTGCCTTGCTGCTTTTAACTGCTCCACACATTTGGGCTAAGCCTGCCAAGCCTGGGTTAACAACCCACCTGGCCTGGGGGATAGAAGACATAAACAGCATAGAGACACTGCATTTTGCCTGTGTGGTTTTGGTTTTGTTTCTTTGTTCTTTTCAGTGCTGGAGATCAAAGCAGGGGCTCACACAAGCTAGGCAAGAGCCCTTCCCTAGGCTTCAGCTCCAGCCTGCCTCTGTGCCTTTATTCACAATCACTCATGATCCAAACTTAAGGTTGTCTGGTGTTGCTAGAACTCTATGTCTTAGCCACTTTTCTTGTCACTGAGACACAATACTCAACACCCACAACTTAAAGGAGAAGAGGTTTAGTTTGACTCATAGGTTTTAGAGGAGTCAGTCCATGGTTGGCTGGTTCCAAGACAGAAAGGACATGGTAGAAGGGTCTGGCAGAGGAGAGGCGCTCACCTCATGGTGGCAAGGAAGCAGAGTAATAAGGAGGAGCTGGGGAGGGAGATAAACCCTTCCTAGTCATGCTCCCAGTGACCCCCCTCTTCTGATGAGACACCGGCTCTAACAGCAAGCAAGCTACAGCACCCCTGTGCTGTACTTTTTAAAAAAAACTTTGTTTTCCTTAATGTAAATAGATGAGTAACTGCTTTAAAAATAAATACTCTGTGTAGCCAGGGCAGTGGCTCACATCTGCACTTCCAGGTACAAAGGAGACTGAGGCTGGAGGATTGCAAGTCCAAGGGCAATCCTCGGCAACATAGACTTCGTTTCAAAATAAAATTAAAAGGGCTGAGGATGTATCACCATTCTCTCTGGCATAAATTAACAAGCAAACACTGCAAAGGAAACTGGTACAAAGCCTATCAGAAGTTAATATTCATTAGAAGCAGTTATTAACATTTTTATCTCAGAAGTTTAAAGCAAGTAGCTATAGTATGTTTACTAATTGGTATTTATTGAGAAGCAGGTATGTGTCAGACATTTTCTAAGCCCTTGGAATCCAGCAATGAAGAGACACTGTGTTCCTCAGCTTCCTGGTTTTGGAGGGGGCGGTCCATGGGCACGTGGGCCTGTTGCTGTGGGTGATGGCAGCTCCATGCGTTGTGCCAGGAACACATGTTGGAGGAAGCTGCTCACCTAATGGTGGCCAGGAAGCAAAGAGATAGGAAGGAGCTGGAGTCCTAATGTCCCCATCCAGGCCAATGTCCAGGCCAATGCCCTCAGTGACTGGAAACCCCCTAAGCCCCACCTCTTCAAGGCTCCATCACCTCCCAACAGTGCCAAGCTGCAGACTCAGGCTTTGGGTCTTCAGGGAACATTCTAGATCCAAACTATGGCAGCTGTACTCCCTGCTCTTGTGGAACTTAAATAGCATACATTCAATCAAGCTGTGTTTCCATTTTTAAATTTTTATTAGTGCATATTTGCAGTACACAATGATTACATTCCGTTACGGTTTGTGTCTAGCTGTTCCCCCAAAGCCTCATGCTGTCATAGGGCTTTTTCAGGGGTGGCTGGATTTGGGTGTGTGATGCTGGGGTTAAGGGCATGTGATTACTAAATCAGTCTGCTGATCAGTCTGGCACCGCCCCAATGCTGGTAGGCTGGATAGAAGGGACAGAAAGAGGCTTGTTTGCTTGTTGCTTGTGCTGTCTTCCACTGCCATAAATGGTTGCTACTGTGTCATGCCACCCTGCCTTGGGGCCAGCTGAGTATGGACTGAAACCTCCACAAACTGTGAGCTAAATACACTTCCTTTAACTTTGGGTGTTGGGTATTTTGTCTCAGCAATGAGAGAAAAGTAACTAAGACACATTCCTTATGAGGAGTTGGTACATGTACACAGCACAACTTAATTCCTTTTTCATCTTCCCCTCTTCTCCTTTCCTCCTCCATCTCTTCCCATTTGATCCCCTTCTCATTTGAGAAAGGACTGTCTCCCTACTTCCTATTATCTACCCCTTATTTTGCTATTTATACTTTGGGTTTCTCATATAAGAGATATTTAACAATATTTGACTTCCTGTGTCTGATTTACTTCATTTAATATTATGGTCTCAAGGTGCATCCATTTCCTACAAAGCATATTTATTTTTAGTGAGACTCAAGTTTATCTTCATGGCAGAGTAGTATTCCATTGTATATAAATATTACATTTTCTTTATCCATTCATCTGTTGATGGACATATAGGCTGCTCTGAAGATTTAGCTATTGTGACTTCTGCTGCTGTAAACTTGGGTGTGCATTATAATATGATAGCTTAACTTTTTGTTTTTGTTTTTCTGAGACAAGGTCTCACTATGTAGTTCAGGCTGGCCTTGGGAGGCTGAGGCAATCTCCTGCCTCAGCCTCTCAAGTGCTGAGAGTACAGGTGTGCTCCACTATGCCTAGTGAAGATACCTACAAGGTGAACAGGTGGGTTGTATGGAATTTCTAGTTTTAGCTCTTTGAAGAATCTCCATACTAATTTTCATAGTGGTTGTATTAGTGTACCTTCCCACCAAAATATAGAAGGGTCTCTTTTCCCTACAGTCTGTCGGCATTTGTTATGATTTTTATGATGGCCATCCTTTTTAGAGTAGGGTGGAATCTCTGTTGTTTTCATTTGCATTTCTCTAGTGGGCAGAAATGTTGAACTTTTCATGTATTTATTGAGCATTGGTACTCCTAGGTAAGGTGTAGACTGAGAGTCAGAAATAAGTCTGAAGTTCCTACACCAAGTTTTCCAGTTAAGTATGCGTGCCAAATAGCAATTTGAACACTGAAGATGGTCATTTAACTCCAGCTTACAGCCAGCTGTGCCCTAATGGTATTTTTAATAATTAATGGCTTGACACCCACTAGGGCGGCTTCCTCTTCCTTCCTTGCTTCTCATTTTCCCTGTCTAAAAAGGAAAGGCAAAAATCAAAATTCCTGACAAG